TGAATCTGGACATCCTGCAGCCTACATCGGTCCTGAGACAAAAGTCAGCAAACTGCTGACACAATGTGGACTCCTGGGTCATTGGCTTCCATCACTTGCTATAGGTGGATGTCCAGCCCTTTCCTGGACTGAGGTATATTCTTGATTACTCATGCTCTAAAGACAGTCACATCCTTTCAAACGGTTGAACCGGAACTGAAAGGCTTTAGGTCATCCATGATACCAGGATCTGCATATCAGCCTCCAGGAAGAGACTTCGCTTTTGGCTGAGACTGGAACCTGGTCGTGGTTTGGGCGGGAGCATTCCAGCCAGAGATATTCCAAGTATAGTCGAGCATGTCTGGCTTACAAGTACCAGACTACACCCTAGAGGTGTTCGGCATATCATCGGAGGGAGAAGTGCAACCAACAGTCACTTGAGGGTACTCAGATCCTCCATTTTGTTTGGGTCCCGTCGGCCCAGAGCTCCGAGCCATTGACATCTTCCGCAATGCGTGCGCAAAACCACGCCCAAGCAAGAGATATCGCAAGCATTCTAGACGATACCAAGTAAGGGCAGCTTGGGCGGGTCGTCAGAACAACAACTTCGATGAGCAATACTCTAGAGGCAGTCACAGGCTCCACTCAATCGGGGGTTTGCTTCGCAGAGAGCCCAGCGACTTTCAAACTCTGCAACGCCTAGCATGGTCATACGACGAGGCACTCCCGAACGAGAATATCACAACCATTTGTGACTCTGCAAACCCGAAGTATGAAGGCCTTCGATATATCAAAGATTCTAGATGCCGACCGATCATCACACGAGGACGTTGAGATGGCTGTATTAGTTGGTTTATTTGCGACGTGCTGTTGGAAGGCTTTCATCCGAGAGTTGGCCGTTCAATGCGTGTACGCGTGGGTGGGTGACACCGAAACCCTGACAGGTGGCAGGCGGCGGAAGGTTCCCGAGGTCCATTCTTATGTTGAACAACTGAACAAATATTGCAAAGCTAGCCATAATCAAGTGATACGTCTTTGATGCGGATGCAGATGCGTTCCTGAAACAATGCGCGATTGACGGGTGAATGATGTCACCTCTAGAATGCAATCAGCGGCTCAAGCCTCACGAAGCTGTACCTTACAGTCTTTGACCGCATGAATCAGCTCATGGTCCTTATTGTTTACCTCAATGTTCACAATTGATTTGTCCAGTACCTGACGACCTTTGTTGATGGTTCAACACCTTCGGGGCGGAGTCTGACGTTCGCGATGGCACTAGGGACCGGGGACCGTGGCGCATGCAGCTGCAGGGCTCTTCGTGCACTTTCATCCTTGGCCGATCGAAAGCCATTCCGTACTCATCAATTGCCTTTTGCCTTTCTTGTTTGCGCCTTCTACATTTAATTCACAGCAGCCGCATCGCGCCTGCTTCCTTTGTTTACGCGCGTCATCCCGATTGGCATGCTGCTTGGCCGAGTCTCACTCGCCGCCTGCAAACGAAGCTTCCTTGCGACACCTTCACGCACCCTACCGTTGTCCGCATCACGCCCGCGCTCCCTCTTTCACACGCCGCACCTCACGAGGCTGTCTAGCTCTAGCGCACACCCCCTCGGCAAACGCTCCCTCCACACGTCGCCGCCTATAAATACTTCGCTGCCAATGGAACAAAATGGCACAAGCAAGCGCAAGCAACCGCCAACCTCGCCCGCAACCGACCGCCCAAACAAGCAGATCAAGCCCGAAGTAGACTCGCACACGTCAAACGGCGTCATGTCGCACTCGCCCGACCTGGAGGAGCCCATGGACGATGCGCGCAGCGAGTACAGCGCCCACAGCTCCCCCGACGCCCTCCCGTCGTCGGCGCACATCACCGCCGTCACCGGGCAGGACACGGCAGAATGGCAGCGGACGATAGAGAACGTGGTCAAGAGCGTCGTGTCGATACACTTCTGCCAGACGTGTTCGTTCGACACGGACCCGGCCATCAGCTCAGAGGCGACGGGCTTTGTCGTCGACGCCGAGAAGGGCTACATCCTCACCAACAGGCACGTTGTCGGCGCCGGCCCCTTCATCGGCTACTGCATATTCGACAACCACGAGGAGTGCGACGTCCACCCCGTCTACCGCGACCCAGTCCACGACTTCGGTATCCTGCGCTTCGACCCCAAGAAGATCAAGTACATGCCCGTCACCGCCCTCAAACTGCGCCCCGATAACGCCAAAGTTGGTGTCGAGATTCGCGTCGTTGGTAATGATGCGGGAGAGAAGCTCAGTATCTTGTCGGGTGTCATTAGTCGGCTGGATCGCAATGCGCCCGAATACGGCGAGGGCTACTCCGACTTCAACACCAACTACATCCAGGCGGCAGCTGCAGCGAGTGGAGGATCTTCCGGCAGTCCTGTCGTGGACCGCGACGGCTTTGCTGTTGCGCTGCAGGCCGGTGGACGTGCTGACGGTGCTGCGACCGACTACTTCCTGCCGCTAGACCGACCGCTACGTGCTCTCGAGCTCATCCGCCAAAGCCAACATGTCACCAGAGGCACCATTCAGACCCAGTGGATACTCAAGCCGTTCGACGAGTGCCGGAGGTTAGGTCTCTCGCCTGAGCTGGAGAAGGAGATCCGCACTCAGTTTCCCAAGGAGACAGGCATGCTCGTAGCTGAGGTCGTCCTTCCTCAAGGGCCCGCATCTACCAAGGTCGAAGAAGGTGATCTTCTCCTACGCGTCAACGGAGAGTTGCTTACACAGTTCGTCCGACTCGATGCAATCCTTGACGACAACGTTGGCAAGACCATCTCTGTGACCATACAGCGTGCTGGGGAGAACATGGACGTCGAGCTAGACGTTGGCGACCTACATGCCATCACCCCCGACAAGTTCGTCTCCGTCGCAGGCGCGTCTTTCCACGACCTCTCATACCAGCAAGCGCGTCTTTACGCTATCTCGCTCAAGAACGCAGGTGTATACGTCTGCGAGGCAGCGGGCTCCTTTAGGTTCGCTGACGGCTACACATCAGGGTGGTTGATTCAGGAAGTTGACAACCAGCCAACACCCGACCTTGACACTTTCATCCAAGTCATGAAGAAGATCCCAGATCGCAAGCGAGTGGTTATGATGTACAAGCATCTGCGCGATTTGCACACTGCGAACACTAGTATTACTTCTGTCGACAGGCATTGGCATGCAAAGATTCGCGTAGCAACACGTAATGACGAAACTGGCCTGTGGGACTTCAAGCCCCTTGCCGATGCCATTCCATCTGTGCCCCCAGTTCCTCGCCGTGCGAACTTCGTCAAGATGAGCTCAAGCTATCCTGAGGCCGTAGACATTGTCCGCAGCTTCGTACGCGTTCATGTCTCTATGCCCATTAAGCTAGACGGCTTTCCTAAGATGAACAAACAAGGCTACGGTCTTGTTGTCGACGCTGAACAGGGTCTCGTCCTCGTTTCAAGAGCGATTCTGCCATATGACCTTTGCGACATCTCGTTGATCATCGCTGACAGCATTTTTGTCGATGCCAAGGTTGTCTTCATGCACCCATTGCAGAACTATGCCATCGTCAAGTACGATGCCTCCCTTGTCAACGCCCCTGTAAAGACGCCCAAGTTCGCTACCGACTTCATCAAGAAGGGAGCCGAGACCATCTTTTTTGGGATCAACCAGAACTTCCGACCTGTCGTAGCAAAGACTGTTGTCACTGATATCACCACAGTCGCGATCCCAGCCAGCGCAATAACACCGAGATACCGCGCGACCAACTTCGACGCCATCACTGTGGACACAAACCAAGCCTCGCATAGTGGCTCTGGTGTACTCGTCGCGGAGGATGGCACCGTTCAGGCTCTCTGGCTTTCATACCTGGGCGAGCGCACATCACACAGCGGCAAGGACGTTGAGTACCACCTCGGTCTTGCAACACCCAACCTTCTTCCGGTGCTCAACGAGATCCGTGGCGGCAACACACCCAAGCTACGTATCCTGAACGTCGAGTTCCAGACCGTGCAAATGAGCCAAGCCCGCGTCATGGGCGTCTCAGAAGAATGGATCGAAAAGACCGAGACAGCCGACCCAGAGCGCCACCAGCTCTTCATGGTCCGCAAGGTCGACTCCGGCCACGGCGACGGTCTCAACGAAGGCGATGTCCTCCTCACCCTCAACGGCAAGCTCGTCACCCGCTCACCTGATCTGGACGTCATGTATAACAATGAGTTCCTCGACGCCGTCGTCGTGCGCAAGCGCGAGGAGAAAACCATCAAAGTCTCCACCGTCGCAACCGAAGATCTCGAAACCGACCGCCTCGTCAGCTTCTGCGGCGCCACCTTCCACCGCCCCCACCAAGCCGTCCGCCAACAAATCAGCAAAATCCACTCCGACGTCTACATCTCGTCGCGCGCCCGCGGCTCCCCAGCCTACATGTACGGCCTCGCGCCCACCAACTTCGTCACTCACGTCAACAACGTGCCCACGCCCAACCTCTCCGAGTTCCTCACCGAGATCAAGAAGATCAAGGATAACGAGTATTTCCGCATGAAGGTCATGACGTTTGATAATGTGCCGTGGGTTGCGACGATGAAGAAGAATGAACATTACTTCCCTACTATTGAGCATGTCAAGGATGCGAGTCAGCCGTTGGGCTGGAAGAAGATTATTCATGAGTGTGGGGATGGGGGTGCGAGGGAGGAGATGGGGCCGGATGAGTTGGAGGCTGAGGCGGGGGAGGAGTAGATGGGTTTGTTGGAGAAGGGGATTGGTTGTGAGCTGTGTAAGATGTAGCGTACGGATGATAGAAGTAACAGAGAATCATGCATTCAATTATCTGGAATTTATTCCCAGACGTGATCTTTGAATCCTCTTCGGGTGACAAATGACCCCGGTCCCAATCCAGTCCCCTTCCCCAAAGTAAGAAAAGAAACAGTCCCTCTCAGACTACTACGCCCCTAGTGGAGCCTGCCGTGTGGATCACTCAAACTCATATCTTCTGATAGACGTCCCCAACGCATACTTGCGTGGCGTAGTGCGTATCATTCAGACCTATCCTCCAGCACATCCTTATCTACAAGCGCCTCCTTTTCCTTGACTTCCTCCTTGGCCTCAACCTTCTTCTTTGGTCGACCCCGGGGCGCAGCTTTCTTCTTTGGAGAACCCTCAGTCACACCCTCATCACCCTTCCCATCTTCACCGCCGTTACCAGCACCAGCGTCAAGGTCAAGCTTGCTCTTCCGCTTCTTCGGAGTAGCTTTAGGCTTTGCCTTGGGTTTCTCGGGAGAGACGTCGGTAGCAGTAGAAGCGGCAGGGGCAAAGGCCTGGCCGTTCTTGATCTTGACAATGTCGTCTTTATGCTTCTCCTTCAGGCGCACGAGGAGCTTCTTGCAGGAGATGACGGAGCGGCCGGCGGGGATGGGCGCGTTCTATTGGCTTGTTAGTTCTGGGATACATTGATGAATGCGGACTTGGGGTTTGAGTCGGTAGCTTCTGTGTGGCAGGTAGTGTAAGAGGGAAGAGAGCACTCACGCCGATCTTCGCATCGATTTTGCCTTCGTTTTCGCAGAGGACAATGAGGTATGCGATCTGTGGTGTGGTTAGCTGGAGCGATTGGGATTGGAGGGGGTGTGGAGGAGGGTGGACGTACTTTCTCGCCTTCAGACCAGGCGGCACCGCTTGCGCCGGTTTTGTTGGGGGTTTTGGGGTCGGTGTCTGACATTTTGGGGATGTCTTCTGGGTGTTGTGGGAGTTCTTGTAAAGATACTATACGTCTTTGGCCTAGAAGTGGATGTTGTGTGGAAGAGTTTGTTAAGAGTAGGAGGAGGTGGTGAGGTAGATATGGGCATGGAGGGATGGGAAATCGGCGGCTTTGGACTCACCTTCACGTCGTAGTTGCGATGAAGTGAGCCCTTTCGTCCTTGATCAGAGAGTGAACGGTGAGGTGAGGTGATGGCGTGGACCTCTGAACATAGAAGTTACCTAGGTAGTCATGGTGAACTGAGCTGTCTATGTGCGCTCTGAGAGGCAGTGCTGGGTAATGCTGTTTGAGTATATCATTGTCTTCTGCATTCTACAGCATAAATCCTGAAGTTCATCTCATTACCAAGACTTTGGCAGTGTGATGTTCATATTGTCGTGAGCGTAGTCATGTCGTCAGCCAATCTACTCGCAGCACTAGCCCGCGTCCAGCTTAGCACCACAGCGCACCTGCTCTTCTCTTCTTCACCTCACGCCCACATTTCCTACACCATCAAAACGACAATGCTTGAGATAGCTTGCTTCAACGCTGCTTCTGCCATCGCAGCAGCGCAAGCCGGCGCCGATCGCATCGAGCTGTGTGCCGACTACGCAGCTGGCGGGGTAACGCCTTCCCTCTTAACGCTGCAGGATGTACGGAAGAAAGTCAAGATCCCGATCAATGTTATGATCCGGCCACGAGGAGGCGACTTCAACTACTCCGACGAAGAGTTTGAGCTCATGAAGAAAGAGATTGAGATGCTTAAGCCTTTTGCTAGCGGTTTCGTTTTTGGCATCTTGATGGTCAATCGATGGATAGACCCCACTCGTAATCGCGACCTAGTCGAGATTGCTGCTCCGCTTCCTTGCACGTTCCATCGGGCAATCGACGAAACAGACGATTTAGAGGAAGCCGTGGAGGCCGTTGAGAACTGCGGTTTCAAGAGCATCTTGACAAGTGGCGGATATAAGACCGCAGCGGAAGGGGCTACTGCTCTTCATATCTTGCACTTCTTTCGGCCCAATAAGGTCTCGTTGATTGTTGGAGGCGGGGTCAGAAGCACCAATGTTGAGGATCTCAAGAGGAGGACCACATTAAAATGGTTTCACTCCGCAGCCATCACAACGCCTGGAGAAGATGTTGACGCCGAGGAAGTGAGAAAGATAAAGGATGTGTTGTCAAAACTCAAATGGAAGCAATGAGACGTGGACATGAAGGGTACGATATTATTCATTAAGCGTGGCGCATCAATACTGGGCTACCACAGGATGTATACGACATGCATGTGCTAGGACTCCAGCGGGTATCATCCATTCGGGATTGCCTCGAATACAACTCCTGAGGCCACTCTATCCAAACAGTTCACTGACTGCGACGTGTATGACGCCCGAAAGCAAATTGCTTACAAAAGTGCGTATAGCAAAGCACCGACCACCGACATTCCAAAGGATCTTGTTGTGTCGACAGACACCTGTCCGGCGGCTCCAGTAGATTGCGGCGAGGCATCGGAAGCTTCGGGAGTTTGTGTCACAACGTTGGTCTTAGCGGCGATTGTTGTGGCTTGCGTAACGGTGGTAGCGGGTACGGTGGTCTTGACCTCTACTCCATTGATAGTCGCCGTCTCGACAGTCTCCGCGACAGTTGTCGGCGCCGAGTATGTGACGGCGGGGACAGTGGTTGTGTAGACGATGACCTTTCCGAGTTCTGTAACTGGGACCGCCCCACCAACACCAGTACCGGTGTACTGTGCAGGGACCGAGAGGGTCGAAGTGTTTGGCTTCTCAGCCTCGTTGTTCGCGTAGATGTTGGCGCTCTGGCCGTCCTTTGTGTAATCTCCGCTGACGAGATTGACATCGGTGCCGCCGGAGCTGTAGGTTCCGGCAGCGACATTTCCGTAAGATCCGTCTGGGAACTGGAAGTTGGTGGTGAACTTGTCGTAGCACATGGGAATGTTGATGTTCTTTACGTTAACACAGTCTAGGCTCTGACGGCACCCGAAACCGTCCGCACGTCCGTGTACAGATCGCTTGTCGAAAGAGATGCCCTGAATCGACGAGAGGATGTCGGTATAAAGCGAGCTGAGCTCTGTGCCGACTGCTGGTGGAGTTGTGCCTGTCGCTCCTTGCGGCTGGCATGCCTCGTAAGGGTCGTCGTTCGTGGCTTTCGCCATGGAATCGAATGGCGACGCAGTTGCGACGGCCGCAAGAGCGAGGGAGAAGAACTTCAGAGACATTTTGTTGAGATGTGGTGTGTCGTGGGAGTAGTAGATCTTCTGGTATCGAGCGATGGTTACAGGTATTACACGATTGTTACACGGTGTAGTACTGAATGACGGACGACTTTCAACAAAGGTAACGAATGGCAAACGCAGGCGCGCGAATGTAAAAGCGAGTGACGGAAGGATACGACAGTATACCTGCCAAGGGTCAGAGGGGCGCCCCGAGTCTATATACTGACTGTGCCCATATCGCTGGTGCTAACAGGGTTTAATCAGGCTCGATCTTACAGCCGAACTAGCCAACAGGCACCATGCGCTTTACAACTGACGGCGCGCCACAATGCGATAGGACGTTTACCAACCGCCTGGGATCTGTTATCCGTTGGGCGATCATGTGTTCATCCCCCCAAGACCTTGCCCAGGGGCGGCCCTCGTATTGGATTCTTACAGGATTGGCTGCCATACACACACAGCCCAAAGATTTGGCCCCGCCAATGAGAACACCATCGCATTTGGCAGTTCCAGGAAAGTCAGCCGCGATGCCAGAACTTTGCTCATGCGCTGCTCATGCGACCGACTGGAATGCCATGCGTCAATAACGCACCGCTAGCCATTAAACGAGGTCATGGTCGCCTGATTCGCCGGGAGATAAATCGGCAGCCTCCAACCGAAGCGCGCTGCGAACGGACTTTTTCCTCATCCCTCAAGCCACGAAACGGCCTTTCATTCGAGATCACGAGAATTTGCAGTGCCGACATCCTTCCGTCTTACTCCAGGTTTGGCCAAGCCCACAACGCCTATCCGTCAACAAATAAAGAAAATAGCGGGCTCCAGCGTCATAAGCGGCAGCCCCGAGTCCCATCCAGGGCAAGCAAGCATGCAGTGTTTGGCCCTGGTTGGTCCCTGACAGCACACCCACAAAACTTGCGGCCACGCGCACGCTGCCGTCCCAAATTTCTCTGCAGCGCTAACACACGACGGTTTTTGTGCGACGGTGATCATTCCCCTGAGCGGCGATAGCGCTCATGTCAAGACTTTGCGGACAGCTCGGCGTTCGCTCGAGCCTTACCTTATTTTGGCCCGCCCAGGTACAGCGTACACCACCAAGACTCTGTATCCTCATGCTAAGATAGGTAGCCGGTCAACAAAGAGACGATAAGAATAGCTTTGTCGTTGCATTCTTCTAGTCCACGGCTTTAGCTTTGCGCTGACCCAATGAGAACATCAGACGGAAGAAATTATTACCGAACAATTCGCGGTTATTCGGCACTCGATTAGGTTGCTTACCGAGATTTACTTTCGTGTTTTGCTCGCTTCCTCGCACGATTCTTTATCGCTGTACTGAGCTGCTTCACACTAGGGGAGACGGACTCGCAATTATCATCGATTCATTCCCGAGCCGTCGTTCGTTCTCAATCAGACAACACGTCGCGTGCGTTGTTCCGCTACGGTACCAGACTACAGTTTACCCCACCACCATGCCAAGGTGTAAGCAGGGCTAGCTAATAATAGAGTTTTTCGGGGATCGACGCAGGAACAAAGCAGCTTACATCTGCACGCGAGACGCACAGCGCATATGATAAGGGGACGTCGCCATGGAGATGTCTACCACTTGAAATATGTGCGCGGTGCTGTTTTGCAGTCTCGACCTCGCTGGGCAGATCCGCAAATCGATCACTCCGCTGCGCGTATGCGGGACCATTCGCACCGGCAACCGAAGGAATTTTCCAATGTTTCTATACGAGGTAGGACCGATAGCGTGGAATCGGTCATGCGATGCGACCGGAGCGGAGGTGCGACCTGCATATGTGCCGTCAGAGTACGTGCAGTAGCCGACCTGAACCACATCGTGAACTGATGACGAAGTCCAGACTTGTCTGTCATCAACATGAGTGTTTTGTGGTTGTGGTGGCTGTCGTCCGAAGCTACTTTTCTTTTTCGACCTCGCGTATTGGTTAGTCGCGGCCGCGCCGAAGCGATGTTGCGCTGCTCGTTGGCGTCGGAAGTACCTAGGGCATGCGGAACTTGATATCGCAACCTAACTCCACTTCTCAGCACTCGTACATAGACAAAGACTGGCTATCTGGGTAAATGTAGCGCGACACGGTGCGCCCGCAAATTGTTGACATTGTGTGTATACCTAGGTAGGCTAGGTTTGACTTTCGCAAGGCGTTGCGAGAAGGTGTAGGCTTCTTGCAGTTTGCCTGAGGAAACCAAGAAACAAACCAAACAAATAAATGAGTGTGCTGATTACAGAGAAAAAGACATCTAAAATACCGTTCTCCGCGTTTCATCAACGCTATATCGACACCACAACTCCGATTTAAACATTGCCGACTTCGTCCCTCAGCCTTTCTTATACTCTGGAACATACAAACAACTCTTCCCATCAGCCGCACCTTTGCAACAATCCACCCTGATACTCAGCCCGGCCCTATCAGCCAACTGATCGGGCACGTTCAAACGCGCATTGACACACTTCCCCGAATAATTGTCTGTCAAAGCTGGGTCTCCCTCGCAATTGGGTTGGAAATATATTCTCGTCTCGCAGATCACGTTGTCTGATGCTGGTGGCTGAAAGCTTCCTGCCAAGGCGACGCTTTCCGCGCTGAGAAACCCGCTGAGGAAGTAGTTGGCGTCGACCGCGTCGTAGCATTGTCCGTATCTAACGTCCTGTTCTTTGAACACCGTAGACACATCAGGATCAGGCGGAAATCTTCTCAGACAATCGTTCATCATGAAGACGGTGATTTTGTGGGTTGCG